TCAGTATATTCAATACTTTGTGGAAAAAATCATCATTAGCAATATGAACTTATAATATAAAAATCTTTTGGAATGCATTTTAACATTGGAAACCTCTTGATGACAATGAATCTTCACTCGATTTTAAAACTTTATTTAATTCAACATTGTTTTCGTCCGTGAGTAAAATTCAAGTTTTAATACTTTCAGACTAATCTATCTATTTTTAGCATTTTGTCATTTTTCATAAAAACTGACTTTCTGTATCATTCACCAGAAAAGTTCACTAAAGAATTGTCATTTCAATTCAATCATGAAGATATCAAAAATATTTTGTTTCGCGAACATAATCTTTTGTCTAAGAGTACACCTACTTTAAGGTTAAAGATAAATGAGATACTTGCAAAAGATAAAACACAAACAAATTTCTTTATTTAATTCATTTCCTTTATTGAAGCAGAATAATTTCGATATATAATTAAAGAGATTCTATTGGAGAAATTCCAAGAAAAGACATGATCTGCAAAAGTCTTACTTACTTAGTTATTGCCATATGAGATTTTTTTGTTGTCATCTTTTTGTCCCTGCATATCTGTTGACCAATTATTCAGATGTATGATCAAATCAGATAAAGAGAACGATGAAATAGTTTTAATTAATTGAAAGTCTTATTCATCATCATTTTTTCACTCAAATACTCACTTTACTGGACCTTCAAAACAATCAAATTAAAGATAGTGGGACACAATATCTAGTCGAAGCACTAAAAACCAACAACGTGAATTTTTAAAATATTTTTACACATCTTTTTTTTCCTCATGTTCACCTTTTCTTAATCTTTTATAGACACTGCAGCAATTATATCTCTCAGGAAATAATAATATCTCCGCTAATAAGAAAATTACTTTGAAACAACAAGACGGACGAATGTATTTTTGATTCATTGATTGATTGTCTTTTTGTTTGAATTAAATAAAATAAATTTTGATTATCTATTTATACTATTATATTCGCACCCGTGCAGTACAAAAAGACTGCGTGGGGGACACACAGGTCAATGATGAATGGGCGAACCGAAGAATAACTCTTTGAACCAAGGATCTTTTTCGCCTATTTATCATTGATTTAAAGAAGGGAAGGAGAAGAGAAAGAAAGAAGTGCTATTCATGGTCAGCGAATAGTACACCCTACCTATCTATCTTGAGAGTAAAGGTGAATCTGAGTAATCATCGCTGGTTTCTATCTAGTTTGACAATAGATCTCATCATATCATTTGATTTTAGATATTCTCATCAGGAGAGTAAACCTTTTTGTCTGTCATTTTGTTAATTGAAGTCAATTTTGAAGACGAAACAATCTGCTCTACTATAACAACCTCAACAATCTACGAAAACAACACCAGCCAAGTCTTGAAGTATTGTTATCGAAGTATCATCGTTCTCATATTTATTTTTACAACTGGTTGAATATATTTGCTTTTTATTTTCTTTAGATGTATTTAGAAATCAATTTTATGAAGTTGAAGTGTATTTTTGTAGAGATTTATTCCGATAGTCTTTTGATAGAGGAAACAGGTTGATTTAGCCAAAGGAAGAGAAGAAAACTTGAAAATAAGAAGAGCACAGTTCTTTTTTTGGTCATCCGTTATTATGAGCTTTTCTTCAATCATGATTCTATTTGACGGCAAACGTTCGAATATGTCATCTTGTTATTTTCATTTTCATTCACTTCAAACATCAACAAGAACACTTCTTTTCTTGATTTTCACTAATAAAAATAATTCGGAAATCATTCGATCATTATGAAAGTTTTGATTAAAAAAGCCGTTGCTTCGTTAATATTATATCTTACATGTCGAGATATGAGAAAAGACGAAATTTTTGCAAGATTCATTCGAGTATTTCTGTGAGTGTGACCTATTTCTCTCGACAAAAAAAGTTTTCACTTCATCTTTAGTCGTGTGAATATTGGAAACATCATGTATACCAATATGTTCTCATGTTCTGAATTGCTTCTGCTTTACTATTGAGAGCAAATTACAAATCTGAAAAAAAAACTTTAAAATGATAAAATGATTCACTTTCAAAGCTGAAGATAGTTTCTTTGCAATTGTTGTCTAATAAATAATAGCGATTGAAATAAAATATTAAAGAGATTTTGTAATTCTCAAAATTCTGTATTGATTAATGATCATTTGAAAATTTTCATGTTAATCTTCATAACAAGATAAAATTATCATTTTTTTCAGATTTTCAAAAATTTAGCTCTTCTAAACTGCCATTTAGCATTCTTTAGGAAAAAAAGCATTGCTAAGTCTATTGCAATAACATTTTTTTGGATTGGAATTTTCTTTATTTTACTGAAAATTAACCAATATACCAATTACAGAAAGAAAAGTTGATTTACGTATACATTTGTTTCTTCAGTTTAGCTGAAGAAATGTAGAATGTTTTAGTCATTTGGAATAATATTATGAAAATTCAACTTTTATTAATTTATAATTGAATTTGTGAAACTTTGAGCTATATGATGATAAAAAGTTTTAGTGGAATTTTTCTGGTCAAATTTTCTAAAGAGTCGTTTTTTTACACAAGTATTGTATCAAATTGAGTATTTGGCGGAGTTATAGTGTAAATACTGAGATTGTTATTTATTCAGTACAATTTGTGGACAGTAAAGGGATGTTATCTAAGAAATTTAAGAATAATAAATGATTTGAAAATGTTGCAGTCAGATGGAACTCGATGATTTTGTTGTTGTCATCATTTTCTATTTGTTTTTGAATGAGTCAACCAATTGGATTTATGATCAATTAGATAAAGAAAGCAATGAGACTGTATCCATAAATTGATAATTCTCATATTTATCTTCACTTTTTCACACAGGCATTCATTACATTGTTACTTTGAAACAATCAAATTGGAGACAATGGAGCACAAAAACTCATGGATATTCTTAAAACGAACAATATAATTTACTTTTCCCATTGATCTCTCTAGTACCGAATTTTACTTCTTTCAGTATTGTTCACATTAAATTGTTTATAGTCAATTGTCGAATTGAAGATTAGTTTAGGAAAATATTTGACGCATACTTATCAACATATCATTTGTTTTGGTTGAATAACTGTTATGAATGTTTTAGTTGTTCAAGTTCAAATGAATGAAATTTGAATTTATGATGAACTTGTTTTCAATTTCATTTGGAAGAATTCTGAGATTATATTTCATATTTCAAATAAAACTCAATGATAATTTTTGACAAACTTGATATGTGTCAATTGAAGACTCCTATAAAATAAAGTCAGCTCACTAAATATATCACAATAGTGCAACATTTAAAAAGAATTCTATTAGTTAATCTCGTGTCATAGAAGAATTAATTATACAATCGTATTATGAATTTGAGTTTAAATTAGAAAAATAAATAAATTTTAATTCAAAATCAAAGAAATAAAGATTTCTACCGTTTTTTATGTCAATATTTCATAAAAAGAAGTATTTTCAACGGTGAAATTAATTATCCTGCCTCGTATCATGAAAATCTAGTAATTAGAGGATTTAGAGTTTGGACTTAGAAGGCTTAGTTTTTGAATTCATACAAAATTTAGTCATCTTTATGCTTTGCCGATTGTGAGAATTTGTAAAAGTTTTTCTTAATATTCTTAGTGAACACCCATATGACAATAGTTTATCTTCATATATTTGAGAACTATTCTACTCTTTCTTACTGTTCAATTATAAGAAATGAACATATATCGGTTGTTTATAATCAAATAGATTGCAATGGAATTTTTCATTTAAAAAAAAATTCACACCATTAGTAATAATATTAATTATATACTATCAAGGAGATCTATCTATTTCAAAACTCTTTATTGTCCTGAGAAAATTATCAAATAAAAAGCAATATTTGTTAAGTTTTCTCTTTAGAAAAATATGCTGTTTAATATCTAATTCGATTCGTCGTTTTTTCAGTTTCAATACATTTTTGAACATTATTAACATATATTCTATGAATCTTTTTGTACTTTGTGAAAGATAAATCCTTAGGAGCAATTCATTTTATCAATTTTGAGAATGAAACTGAATTATTTTTAACAAGAAAATTTTCTAAAATACAATTTACGTTGAAAATCTCTCATCAACAATGAATCATTCCTGGATTTTTAAACTCCATTCAATCTTGAAAATATAAGGGTGTGCGTGTGGGTGGGTGTGGATGTACAGGAAAAGAACATCCACACCCACTCTTTATAGATCGTTTATATCTACATACCTTATATAGTTTCAATTCAAAAGTTATTGACTAGTTGGTGACTCTCCCTTGTAAGTTCATGTCGAAATCAGAGTTTTTAGGATGTTACATTGATAAAAACGAGGATAATTCTAATAAATTCTTGAAAACTCCCATATTTTCTTATATCTTTAGTCATTATTGTTATATATGTTCAACATTATTTTCTCAAGACGAACGATCCGATCATATTGATCATAAATATAGTGAATCTCTTAATCGTAAACAATTACAACAACCATGTCGTCATATTCTTCAACCACTTGAAAATAAACGTAGTAATGCACAATTTTTCTTTTCTCAAACATTTATTGATTATCTTATTAATAAAATTATTATAAAAGATTCTTGGGATAGTATTATTTGTATTGGTTGTTCAACTATATTCGAAAATCTTCGTTGCCATAAATCTGAAAAAAAATTTCATTATATTTACTTGATTATGATTATCGTCTTTGTTCATTCTATTCATCGAAACAAATTCTTATTTATAATATGTTTAATGGACATATATTTTCAAATAGAAAATATTTTGAAGAAAAATTTCTTTCAATAATTAAAAATTGTTTAATACTTATTGATCCACCATTTGGTGGTTTTCATCGTGCATTATCTTATTCAATTAATAAATTATTTCAATCATAGGAGATTCAACGAAATTTAATCTTATTTAATCCATATTTTCTTGAAAAATGGATTATTGATGCATTTCCTAATTTCAAAAAATGCTTGATTATAAAATTGAATATGAATCAATATCATCATTAAATTTATGTCGTGGTAGAAAAGGTTCACCTGTTTGTATGTTTACTGATATATGTCTATCGAAATTTCCACCATTGGATGATATTAATTATAAATATTGTTTCGAATGTAATCGTTATACACTATTAACAAATCAACATTGTTCATTATGTCAACGATGTGTGAAGGCTGAAAGAAATCATTGTAATACATGTAATGTATGTCATTTACCAAATCAATGTATAACGACGACAAATAAAAAAGAACATTCTTTGACAAATAAACAGAAGAAGAAAAAAAGAAATTAAATAAAAATCTCAGTTGATTACAACATCTCCTCTTTTTTTTTTATTTGTAGTTGATGATAGACTGGGATACATTGTTTAGCAACCCTTTGAGATTGGTTCTTTTTAC